GATGACGGTGTGCCTTGCTACAGGCGCACCCGTAACATTGAACAAACGTGTACTGGAAATTCACTACACGATAGAAGTAAAGTAGTACGATGATGACTTTATCGTACTAAATGTGGATGACAAAAATTCGATGTCACTCTCGATCTTCCATGACTTAGATAATGCGAGCCATGGTTCAGATGGAAGCATCGATCCGTGATGATGCCTGCCGTTTTCACATCAGATGGCTATCTCATGAACGTCTTGGAGCGTCCACAAGCGTGTGGATGTACTACGAGTGAGTGCGATGGCTTCACTTGTGGTACGGTCGTTAGTGCGATTGCTCAAGATCACAGTGTAGAAGGCCACTACACTGTGGAACCGGCTTCCGGCACCTGTGTAGAGACACAGGATGCGCCGAAGGTTCACCACTCGAAGAGATCGAGTGGACTGGAACACGTATGCACACCAAGAAGGGTGCATCCGAGAATATAGACTAGTGTTGTTCAAGATGAACAACACGTTGAAGCGAGATCAACTTCCAGAGAGTCGATCGTAGAGCAAGCCCGATCGACTGAAAGAATGACCGCGGTAGTCACCCACAGTCAGTACACGTAATGGAAGAAAAATCTAGCGTTTCTGAGAGTGATAACTCCCGAGAGATTTATGTTGAGGGTGTGGATCCCCAACCATCTGCGTATGTGTTTTCCCAGGAAATCACCGAGTCAGTGAATGTCTTGGTGAATGACTGATCAAGTGTAGGCGCTTATACACTTGATCTGGTTACGCGCCCGAAGTCAGCTTCGGAGGTGGTAAAGCTGCCAACGCTAGAATCTAAAAAATCTTGTGAGATCTGCGTAGTGACACGGTCAAGCAGATATGCGTACTCGTCACAGAGGACGAGTACGTCGCCGATATTCGGTCGGCACAGTGTTCACTCAGAACGAACGGGTTCTCAGTAGTTCATCTAAGGATGAGAGCGTGCGTTGAGAAGACTCCGATTGAGCGATACACGTCCTAATCTTGGGAGTCTTTGAAGAGAAATCCTATGTATAAGGATTTGGGCGAATTCAGGGATGTTTTCCCGGAATCCGTGCCATGCGAGATGCCCAAAGACAGAGGCACTCGGCATGAGATCGAACTGAAACCTGGTTCGGAGTACTGTGTCATGAAGCAGTGACCACTGCCTCGTGAATAGGTAAAAGGGATCGACAAATTCTTTGCCGATCGTTTAGCTGCGGGCCATGTGAGGGAATCAACATCCCCACACAGCTTACCGACCTTCTGTGTGCGATAGGCCACAGGAGAGTGGCGGATAGTGCATGCATTTAACAAGTTGAATGCTGCAACGGTACCGGCTCAGACGCCGATACCAAGGAAGGACGTAATCATTGATGATATGTCAAAAAGTACCATCTTTTCGTCCATGGATTTGATGGATGGTTTCTTCCAGATCTTCATGCGTGAACGGTACATCCCTCACACAGCAGTAATCACTCCCAGTGGAATGCTCTGGGAGTGGCTAGTAATGCCACAGGGGCTAAGTAACGCCCCCGCAACATTTAACAGATGTGTTAAGAATCTTTTGCGATCGGTGCGCAATTTCGCACCGATTTATTTCGACGATGTCTTCGTCCATAGCCGGGCTATGGATGGAAAGACGGACGTGGAGGTTCATATAATCCACGTCCGGAAGGTTCTTACTCTAATGCGAGAGAATAAGTTGTTCGCGAACCTCAAGAAGTGCATATTCGCAGCGAACGAAATACCACTTCTCGGCTGCATCGTGGGTAAAAATGGTGTACGCCCTGATCCGGAAAGATCAAGGCGATCAGCGACTGGCCTGTGCCAGTCGACGTCAAGGGACTTCGAAAGTTCCTTGGCTTAGCGGCGTACTTGCACAAGTACTCGCGTAATTACGCCGAGATGACCGTACATCTCTTTTGTCCATTTAAGAAAAACGAGAGGTGGTCATGGAGTGCTGAGTGTCAGCACTTCTTCGAAGGTATTAAGAAAAGCTCGATACCATCGCCTGTGTTGGCGATTATCGACCAAGACAGACCATTCCATGTGGTCTGTGGCGCCAGCGATTTTGCAATCGGCTGTGCGTTAATGCAGTACGACTCAGACGGCGTTGAGCGCGTCGTCTACTATCGATCGCGTCCGGTGAAAGCAGATGAGCAAAATTATTCGGTGCATGACAAGGAACTCCTTGCTATGAAATATGCACTGGCCAAGTCTCGGGTGTATCTCTTAGGAGATAGTCCCTTCATCGTTTATACCGACCATGCATCCTTACGCACGGCCATAAATAGTCCACACATCTCGCAACGAAGGGCGAGGTGACGTTTTTTTTTTGCGGAGTACAACTTCTCCGTCGAGTATAAATTAGGACTACTTAATGTCGTCGCTGATGCTCTTTCGCGTCGGCCCGATTTCGAGCCGATTGCTCAACACAACAGTATGGGTCATCCCACTGTAGCGATACTAACAGTGATTGTTCCGTCGTCGAATCTGCTCGACGACGTGCGAAAAGCATACGCAGAAAATGAGTCTATTCTGCGATTGATGGATTACGTATCCAATCCGTGTAATCGAGCTTTGAAAAGCTTGTCGTTTCCACACCGCTCTTCAACCGAACGGTATTCGGTTCGTGATGGACTGCTGTACAATACAGCAGTCAACGGCGACACACCTCGTGTCGTCGTTCCCGCTCATGATGATTTGAGATTGCGCATCATGTCTGAGTGTAACGATGCCCCAACCAGTGGGCATCGCGATAGAAAAAGACTTACATCACGGTAAGTCATGACTTCTACTGGCCCCGCCAGTGTGAGTTTGTGGGCAAATACATTCGCGCTTGCGAAGTTTGTCAACGAGTGCAGCCTAGTCCTTCATCCCGCACACCCTTGCAGCCTCTACCGATTCCGGCGGAGTGTTGGCAGTCCGTATCGATGGACTTCGTCTTCGGGTTTCCCAAAGACGTTCACACGAATACTGGTATTCTTGTGTTTGTTGATCGGTTCAGCAAGATGGTACATCTTGTTGTGGTACCGGAGTCAATTACTACACAGGGCTGTGCGCTTTGTCTTAATCGATGCTGTCTTACGACTTCACGGGTAACCCCATGAACTCGTGTCCAATAGGGACCCCCGCTTCACAGCGGAGTTCTGGCAATCCGTGTTCCGTTCACTTGGAACACGTTTGATGATGTCAACTTCTGACCATCCCGAAACAGATGGTCCATCGGAACGCTTTAACCGCGTCCTCGAAGAGATACTTCGAGGGTACGTCCACTCGTTTAAGTGTTAAAGTGAGTTCTTGCCGATGGCTGAATTCGCCATCGAAAACTCGGTGCATGCTTCGACAACGCATACACCGTTCTTCGTGAATGGCCTACACCATCCACGCTTACCCGCCTTCTTAAAGTGTGACTCTAGTTCAAAGGGGGGGGTGGACTCGCTCGAACAAAAACCGATCTGGTTCTTGCTCATCACGTCGAAAATGGTGTCGACGTGATGGATGCCGATGTCGATGGTATCGATGTCACTGATGACGATGACGACGATGCTGGCATATTCAGCATCGCCAGTGACTGCCACAGTGAGGACGATGACACCCTCACTGGTGAAGACAACGTTCTTTCAGCAGTGCACACGAAGCGTGCTGCTGTTGACAAGGATGAGTCATTAGAGGAATTTTTGCTGACTCGCAAAGCGGTTGTCCGCTTCGTTCAAGACTCTATTGCAGATGCACTAGACAGACAGAAATGAAGCGCAGACAAACAATGAAGAGCAAATGTTCTTTAATTTGATGAAGGAGACGTAGTTTTACTGTCTACAGTAAATCTACCGAAGCACGCAGTGACAAACGTGGGTAGCAGTAAATTACTGCCCAAGAATGTCGGTCCATTTCGTGTGTTGCGCCGAATGGGCAACGCATACACGATTGAACTGCCCCGTAAGATGCGCTCGCATCCTACGTTTTACGATGGTTGTCTCCGCCAGTACTATCAGTACGATCCCGTTTCGAGATGCGAAGAACACCTCCACGTTCGAGAGCCGAGACCACCTTCGAGTGGTCCCGTTTCAATGAACCAGTCTGGTCAACTAGCGAAGCGACCTGTTCACGCAGCTCAGCGATGTCTCGACGAGCTGCAGCCAGCTCATCACGAAGAGAATGAGTCTAGCGTTCGTTCTCAAGTAGCTCGAACGCAAAAGCAGCACGATCGTCCGAAAGATCGTGCGTTAGGGAATTAAAAGTATCCTTTAAAGGTCATGGAGCTTATAACGCCGAGATCGTTCATAAGCCAGGTCATCTTGCAACTGTTCCGTTACACGGTTCAGCTATTGAACATCAAGCTGATCCGACCCTCGAGCCGGATCAGGTGTTCCCGCCGCCACCACATCCTTTGGCGGACTCAAGCGATGGTCAACGCTTCCTAGTGGAGCGTATTTTGAACCACCGCGATGTGAATGGCGTCCGGACGAGTTACCTCGTCCGCTGGTGTGGCTATCCACCGGCATGGGACAGCTGGAAGCCTCGTGCCTAGCTGATTGCTGATGTCCTTGGTCTCGTCGAGCAGTACGACGATACCCACCCGCTGCGTTTGAAGAAGGGCCGTCGGAAAACGACCTCCCCGAACGCGAGTGCAGGGATTGCAAAGTGCCGATCCCTTCGGCCATCTCGGAAGAGATGCGTGCCCTTCAGTAGGGATCATTAGGGAGGAAGACCTCCCTAGAGGCACGGTTCGAGTTGTCCAGGCAACCTGGACACGAATCACCCCACGAGAGACAGGGTAATTCCGCCTCTCTTAAAAGCCGGTGCAACTTGTATCGCGCCCCAACTGGGTTGCGTTTCTCAAACCTGATGCGAGCTGCATCAAGTTTGGCGAGCCAGGCCTCACGGCTAATGCACTCGATGTTATGGATGAGGGCATTCCATCCTTGCACCAAGGCTTTGCCGTCTCGAACACGGCAACCATTGTAACACCGATGTTTGAAGAACGCATCGGTGAAGAATTATTCCTCCGCACGGATAGTTTCCGTGCTGGAATCAGGTGAGCAAATCCTCCTGCAATCAAACAACGGGATTCGATCCCGTTCGGTTGTCATGCCGACCAACCGGTCCAACTCTCTGGATGACGGCATCCACGGAGACTCCACTTGAGGAGCGTGGCGCAGAACATTTCCGTCCCTGGCCTCTTGATTGGTGCCAGCGTGAGCGCTGACACCAGTGACACCTCGATCGCTCGAGTTACTTTGCTCGTGGTGATGTATAGGTGTATCACCACCATCCCCACGCGTCCTATCGTTGGAAGGACTTGCGTGAGGCGGCGATTCGTCGGAAGAATCGCTCGATCCGAAGATCTCGGACATGATACTGCCGCGCTGACAGGAGCCGGTCAACCTGGCTCTTGCAGCGTCCGCCTCGGGTGACCCGGAGGCGTGAGGTGTCGCCTTTGAGTCGGATACATCATCCGACTCGCCAGAATAGATGAGCTCTATTTAGACTCATCTTGATACGACTCGTGGTACCCGCTGCAGATGCAGCAGATGTACCTGCCGCACGGGGTGACTCACCACGTGGACGATTCACAACAATAGGTGACGAATCACCTGCTGCTGAGGTGTGAGAAGCACTTTTCGCGGCTGCACGCATTCGTGAAGCCGCCGCCCTACTTGCTGCTTCGGCAGCACATCGCATGGACTTTGACACCATGCGTTGGATTGGCAAATGAATGAGATTTGACCAACAAGTGATCCCTTTCACAGAGTGATCCAACGGTGGTCACCCTGTCCCAATCAATTCTAATTCAATCAATGGGCGATTGATGGTTAGTGGAGGGGGGTTGGTGTAACGGGGTAGCCCATTACATGATATGGACACCAAACGGTTTTAATAGAAATATTGTCTAGCATGACAATATTTTACCAATATTATCCGAGATAGATGGTATTGAAGGAATACTATCCCTTTTGGATAATATTCATGCGCTGTTCCAAGATTGGTTAACATAAGACATATCAACCATAGATTGCCACCAATCGCTGCTAGACGTGCGCAATGAGTGGTGAGCAGGTTGTCGTCGCACGACGGCGTAGTTTAATATAGTTAGATAAAGATTAAAGCTGTATTGATAGCTTAACTATGTTAAATTCAGTTCTCTTTCTACCTTTACTTAAACGAGTCGTTTAAGTAGATCAGCTTCCTCTGCACGTACTAGTGTACGTGAAGTTTCGTGGCACCCAGACAAAGGGTGCCCCGTTACACCGACATCCACGAAAAAGCAAAGGGACATTCCTGGTCAACGTCGAGTGCACCACTGTTTCCTGGGTTAGCGCGCATCAACACAATCAGGTGCGGTGCAAGGAGTGAGAAGAATGATTGCCACTCTCCATCAATTTCTTCGATAACGGCTTCCTTGGCTCTGTATACTTTATTTCGAGAGTGCTGCCAAATATTGCTGTCACGAGCCTGAAAGAGAGCCACAAGCGTTTTTCGCTTGATGCCTTTTTAACCTTGTACGGCGGCCTTAAATGTCGGCAGAATTTAAATTTGTCGAGCGAAGACGGCTTTGCGATTGCCAGGCACACGTCGGCTTTCATGTCATTTAAGTTGTGAATGTAGTGCTCTAAGGCTGCACTCATCCGCTTCATCTTCGTCAAAGGAACATCCCATCGGCATCGATCCTGTGGGCTCACATTCATATTGATATAGCCACCTTTTTTTAACCCTGCACTGCCGGTTGTGATCGATACAGTAGTCTTTCAAAAACCTGGTTGCAGCAGCACCGGACTAGAAAATTTGTCCATGGGCTAATTTAGTGGCTCCATAACTCGCACCTAAATCAATCGCCACCCTTTCGCGTGACATCTTGATGAATCCTGCTGTTGTTAAGCACTTAAATTCGTGACGCGTATAGCAATATAATGTTCTTATGTTTGATGCACCAAGTAGTGTGATCAGTACTAAATTGTTCATTAGCCGGTGCTGTTTTGGAACCTTTGACCTCTCATGGTGATGGTTTGGAACCTGTAACGGGGCACTCTGAAGCTTGTAATGATGACAGTACAAGCTATTTATTCAGAGGATAGAATAAGGCGGTGCCTCGGAACTTCACGTACACTCGTACGTGCAGAGGAAGACGGTAAGAAGAAGCGAGTACTTGATTCAAGTAAAAAATAGAACTATATTTATCATAGTTAATGTCTGTAATAACCCCCCCCTGTTTATCCTCATCTAACTATGTCTAAATACAAATGTGTAAATCAACTGTCTGCTCACCACTCATTGCGTGCGTCTGTCGTGGCGCGTCTTCGTTGGTTGTTATAATGGCCTATATCAACCAATTAGGAACTACTCGTAAGTGCTACAGAATATTTGTCCTTATGACAATATTCTGAGAATATAACTCTTATAGTTATATTCTATTAACAATTTCTTATAAAATGTTATGTAACGATTCACCCCGTTACATCACCCCCCCTTAACCATCAGTCACTTTAGTGACTGATTGACTAGATGGATACTCGTCCCAAATCATTTGGGACGGGGTTTGCACTTGTTGGTCCGAGTCCACTTTCCAACATCTCATCGCATGGTTAACAAGCCCATGCGATGCGCAAGCAAGGCCGCCGAGAGCGCGTCCGCACGTCTCTGTGCGGACGCCGAAGCAGAAACCACAGCAACTGATGTCTCATCGGTTGCTGAAGCGACTCAGCCTGTGTCACTTGGCGATGCAGGCGCTGGTCATGAAGACACTCATGTCTTCACAGAGTATGAGCTCGGAGTCTCGTACTCTCCTGATACGGAAGACGGATCCGTATCGACGGCGATCGAATCCAAACCGCCTGCCAAGCGTGGCATGGATGATGCTATGCGTCGCAGCATCTTTGGTACATCTGATGAATCAGATGAACCATCGCCGAAGCGAAGGTGCTCGAGGTCGCGAGACTCGGGCGCTAACAGTGGTGTCGGTTTCTCCAATGGACACCACTTCGCAACGAGGTGCCAGTCCTTCTGTCGGCACGTCGCAAGAAGAGCGGAAACGCAGTGTGTTGCGTCTCCCTCCCGAGAAGAAGGCATGGCTGCCTCCTAAATCCGTCATGGATCACTTGTCGGTGACGACGAGTGATTGTTATCAAGCACGGTTGTTTGATTCGTCAAGGATCCATCACCTTGACCTCAGTGTGAAAAACTATCACGCTGAGAATGAATTCTTCATCGATGCTTTCTTTAGACATCGATGGTACAGTGGGAATCACAAGCGTGATGGTCCCTCACTACTTCAAGCGTGGAACGCCTACATCCATAACCTTGAGGATGTATGTCGTGACGTTCGGAACGACAAACTTATCAAAGCTCGTGATTAGTTTAAAAAGCGAACCCCGACAGGTGCACGCTACAAGCTGCATCGTCCGTCTAAGGAGAAAGGACTACCCTGCCTCTCTTGGGGGGACTCGTGCCCATGTAGTGTAAACAACTCTTCACGAGCACCCAAGGAGGCTTATCTCCCTAACAGCCCGTGGTGGCGCGTACGTATCTCTAGTGATATGTACGAAGGGAACGACAACCTGAAATCCCTTTACGACCGTGCCAGGAAGATTTTCTCCAGCGGTCCTTCTGCGGCACAGGATGTGCCGCATCGTACTGCTCGACCAGACCCAGTACGTCAACCATCAGTTGGGAGCGGGGCTCCCAAGTATCCCAGGACGGGGGATAGCCGCGCCACCGGACGAGATAACTCGTCCGACGTCCGTTCACGTCGCGGTGGTTCAATAGCTGCTCAAACAGATAGCGCTGGCCACCGCGAGAGTCCTCTAATGGAGGTGGAGGAGGAGGAAAGATGCTCTCCACACAATCGTGGGAAAGCGTGTGTTCCCGAGAGCTTCTTTGATCGCGTAACGCAAGGGTTACGCGGCGATCTCGAACATGAGCGGGACGGGCGTCTCCAAATGGCGGACGCTGTCTTGAAGCATCGAGCTGAGTTTGCCTTTGATCAGCTTGAGAACGAGAGAGTTCTGACATCTCTTCGTGACGAGCTAAGGGTTGCTCGTGGGATTGTTGATCGGTCTCGGGATGAGATAACTGCTCTTCAGACCCTTGTCGATGCCCACCATCGGGAGCACAAGGCCCTCTGCGAGATGCTTGAGCGCAAGGGCGTTCTTCATCGGAAGAAGCAGCGTACTGATGGTACGGCTTTTGCCGACCAACGTAAAACGTGGGATGCGTTCGCATCTTACGTGGTAACTCGATCGTGTATGCATTGCCTAGGCGGTGCAATACACGAAATGGGCCGGTGTACTTGGGTAGTAGTTGACTACTACCCAAGTTAGTCACTACATGCTTTGGTAGATTAACCGTAGACAGTAGGACTAAGTCACCTTGATTAAATAAAAGAGTGTTTGCCCTTCCATTCTTGTCTGCGTTTTGCTTTTGCATATCCACCGCTTCGGCGATGAAGTCTTGCACAAAACGGACTACCGTTTTACGAGCCAGTATGAACTCATCTAATGACTCGTTAGCTTCAGTGCGCTGTGAGTGCACTGCAGCAACATCAACCTTTTCTTCAGTGAGGGCTTCCGCACTCTTACTGGCATCAAATCTTCTTCGATATCGATGTTATCGATATCGGCATCAAACGCAATGACCTCTTCGTCAGAGCGTGATGAGCGTGAACCAAATCGGTTTTTGCTCGCGCGAGTCTCTCTCCCCCTTAAACCAGAGTTACACTCTAGTAAGGTGGGTACACGCGGATGGCGCAAGCCATTCACGTAAAACGGTGTATGTGTCGTGGACGCATGCACCGAGTTGTTAATGGCAAACTCTACCATTGGCAAGAACTCACTCCAACACTTAAAGGAGTGTACGTATCCTCGAAGTATCTCTTCGAGGACACGATTGGCACGTTCCGTCGGACCATCTGACTCTGGATGATCAGATGTCGACATCTTCAAGCGCGTTCCGAGTGATTTGAACACGGAACGCCAGAAATCAGCAGTGAATCGTGGATCTCTGTCTGATACGAGTTCACGGGGCAACCCTTGAAGTCGGAAGATGGTGTCAACAAAGACACAAGCACAGCCACTTGCCGTGATTGACTCTGGTACAGCCACAAGGTGTACCATTTTGCTCAATCTGTCGACAAATACGAGAATACCCGTATTCCCGCGTGCGTATTTGGGTAACCCGAAGACAAAATCCATTGAGATGGAATCCCAGCACTCAGCCGAAACCGGTAGAGGCTGTAAGGTGCACGCAGTGAAGGACTTGACTTCACTCGTTGACAGACTTCGCATGCGCGAACATACTTTCGCACAAACTGATACTGGCGGGGCCAGTAAAAGTCTCGACTCACCGTGAGATATGCTTTCTCCCGGCCACGATGTCCTCCTATAGGAGCATCGTGATACTCGAACATGATCCGCAAACGCAGATCAGTTTCATCTGGAATGACAACACGTGGTGTGTCACCAGAAACGGCTGTATAATACAGTAAACCGTTACGAGTAGTGTATCGATCTGATGCAGATCGATACGCAGGCGACAATCGTTTCAACGATTCTCGAGATGGTTGTGAGAGATGTGTCAACAACTTCACTATCTCACCATCTTGGGCGTATGCCCGCCTCACATCATCATACAACGTTGTAGATGGGACTGAGGACGTCATAACCGCAACAGTGACTGTCTCACTGTTGGGTTTCGCGACTGTTTCAAAGTCGGGACGACGTGAGAGTGCATCAGCGACGACATTAAGTCGTCCTGGTTTGTACTCGACCGTAGAGTTGTATGCTGCAAAGAATGACAACCACCGCGCCATTCGTTGTGAAAGGTGCGGGCTGTTCACTGCCGTGCGTAATGACGCATGGTCAGTGTAAACAATGAAGGGTCTATCTCCTAAGAGATATACTTTGAACTTCGCGAGTGCATACTTCATGGCAAGGAGTTCCTTGTCATGCACTGGATAGTTTCGCTCAGCTGGTTGTATCTGACGCGACCGATAGCAGACGACGCGTTCAACGCCTTCAAGATCGTACTGCATTAATGCACAGCCGATTGCGAAATCGCTGGCATCACAGACCACATGAAATGACCTGTCCTGATCGGCAATTGATAGGACTGAGGATTGCATCAAGCTCTGCTTGATACCATCAAAGGAGCGCTGACATTCAGCGTTCCATAACCATCTCTCGTTCTTTTTCAACAAACGAGAGAGGTGCACAGTCATCTCGGCGTAATTGCGCGAATACTTATGCAAATACGCCGCTAGCCCAAGGAATTTTCATAGACCTTTGACATCAATCGGCACAGGCCATTCGGTGATCGCCATGATCTTTTCGGGATCAGGACGTACACCGTTCTTACCAACGATGCACCCAAGAAGTGGTAATTCGCTTGCTGCAAATATACACTTCTTGAGATTAGCATACAATTGATGCTTCCGCATGATTGTAAGAACCTGTCGGACGTGGTACCTGTGAACCTCAACATCCGACTTTCCATCCATAGCTCGACTATGGATGAATACGTCATCGAAATAACTCGGCGCGAATTCGCGTACTGGTCTCAACAGATGTGATACACATCTGTTGAACGTGGCAGGGGCATTACTAAGCCCTTGTGGCATTACTAGCCATTCCCAGAGCATGCCGCTAGGCGTGCTAACTGCGGTATACGGTATATCCCGTTCTCGCATAAGGATTTGATAGAAGCCATCCATCAAATCCATGGACGAAAAGATGGTACTCTTTGACATATCATCAATGATTACGTCCTTCCTTTGTATCGGCGTCTGAGCCGGTACCGTTGCAGCATTCAACTTGTTAAATGCATGCACTATCCGCCACCCTCCTGTTGATTTTCGCACACAGAAGGTCGGAGAGCTATGTGGGGAAGTTGATTCCCTCACATGGCCCGCAGCTAAACGATCGGCAAAGAACTTGTCGATCGCAAGTACTTGTTCACGGGGCAGTGGCCACTGCTTCATGACACAGTATTTCGAACCGGGCTTCAGTTCGACCTCGTGTCGAATACCTTTATCCTTCGGTAATTCGTACGGAACAGTTTCAGGGAATACATCCTTGAATTCAACCAAATCTTCATAGAGAGGATTTGTCTTGAGCGATTCCCATGATTGGGAGTCATATCGCTCAACTCGTGTCTTTTCATCTAGGACACCCTCGTCCATAGATGAACTACTGAGAACTCTCTCGTTCTCAGTGAACACTGTTGCTGACCTTATGTCGGTTACACACTCGTCGTCAGCGACGAGTACGCAGATCCGCTTGACTTTTCCACTACGCAGATCACGCAAGAACCTTTTATGTTCGAGCGTTGGCAACTGAGTGATCTCCGAAGTCAACTTCGGAGGCGCAATCAGATCAAGTGTATAAGCGCCTACACTTGATCCGTTATTGACTATGACATTCAATGTCTCTGTCATTTCCTGGGGACTTATTCCCTCAGGCTTCGAAGGACTTATTCCTTCGGCTTCCCGGGGACTTATTCCCGCGGGTTTCGGGGAACTTATTTCCGCCGTATTTGTAATATCGGGACTTATTCCCTTTACTTCCTCTAGCTGGGGTTGCGCAACCACAGCGAGATCCTCTACGAAAGACTCTCCAGTTGATCTAGGATTATCGTTTCGCTTAACCTGAGCGATCGATTGTTTCTCTTCTAGATGTTCCCCGCTAGGGATACATCTTTGTCCCAGTCCACCCGACTTATTCGAGTGGTGGACCTTCGGCGCAGCCTGTGTTTCCTCACAGCCGCCGGAACTTTGCTCCGAAGTGTAACCTTTTGGTACACTAAGGTTTTGTGCAGTCGTACTAACGACCGTACCACAAGTGAGGCCATCGCACTCACTCGTAGTACATCCACACGCTTGTGGACGCTCCAAAACGTTCATCAGATGGCCATCTGATGAACAAGCGGCAGGCATCGTTACTGTTCGATGTTGCCAGTTTACTCGTGGTTCGTACCTTCTGAGCCACGGTATTCCAAGGATGACATCAAATTTGTCATCCAAATCCAATACGATAAAGCCATCGTCATATTGAGTATCTTCTAGCGTATAGTGGATCTTCAATATACGCTTCATGACGGTTACGGATGCGCCTGTCGCAAGACGTACCGTCATCTTCGTAGGAGGTGTGTCACATTCAGCAAACTTGAAGTGACCATCTTCTAACGATTGGCGTTGCACAAAATTGTTGGATGCCCCACAATCGACCAGAGCTCGAAGGGACAACTTATTCGTCACTTCGAGTTTCAAGGTAATGAGTGAGATCTCATTACCTAGAGCAGCAACGCACAACGTTTGTGTGTTGGGAGCAACCTTCATCAAGAGGCCTACAAATTCTCTTAACGTTGCTGGACCAGTAGGGTGCTCCGCACCTACTGATCCTGTCGGTTTTTTGACGGTCCATCCCGTTGTTGCGTCTTTGCACCAACAGCGGACCCTCGTCCCTGCCCCTTTCTCATGGGTGGACGGTCACTACGCCCAGTGTCGCGAGACACTGGACGAGGGGCACTACACTCGTAAGCGTAATGTCCTGTCTTCTGACGTCTGTTGCATTTCTGCAACTTCTTGTAGCATGTAGAGCGAGCCTTCTCGCTCTCTACATAACAGAGTTCCATCGGCTCTGGACCTCCGTTGTCATATCGTCTCGGTTGACGATACGATGTCGAGCTGGCGCGAACCTGTCTCAGACTGAAGTCTTCCTGCTCCGCAATGGAAATGGCTTGTTCTAGTGAATCTAGTTCAGGTCGGAACAGGTGAGTCTTGACGGGACCATCCGCAAGACCCTGCATGAACACCGAAACCAACGTGTGTTCATCCACCGGATTGGAACTTATACAACTCGTGAGATGTCGTATATGTTGCGCGTAAGCGTGCACATCACGCTTACCCTGTTTGAGCTTCAAGAGTTCGGTTCGAGCTCTGAACTCAGCTCTAGGCGGTTCAAACGTTTGTCTGAGCCGCGACTTGAAGACTTCCAACGACCCAAACGCATATGGGTCGTGCAACTTGAGCCCCAGTGCCCAAGTCTTGGCACGTCCTGCCAGATTTGACTGGGCAAATGCAACTTGCATATCCCCGTCGTCGATGCGACGCGCCCTTATGGCGTCATCCAAATCGACGAACCATCTCAAGAGGGAGTCTTCTTCGACCCCCCTATACTTGGAGATGTCAATCTTCAAGGTTTCGGGTCGACGCGAGTGCATCGACCCACCAGCAGCAGCCTGCTGCTGTCTCAATAGTTCAAACTTTTGAGCACCCTGTTCTATCAACAACTCTGCTTGTTGAGAACCTTGTTGGTGAAGCAAGGCT